AATATACATCTATTTAAAATTACTAAATTATGTTAATAATATTTCTCTTCCGTTTTTCACTTTCATCAACTATTATCCAACTTATATGGATATAAAACGTGAAATATGATGTAATAATTGTCTTGCGTAGTTGCTTTAATTTTCGTCATGTCTCAATAGGAATGAAATTCATATCGTGCCAGAGCGAGAAGAGACCGTATAGTTTCTAGGACTCAGCTGCGCTGGCATTTGCATTTTCATCTGCTTGGAAATGTCGTCGATGTCTCGTTAGCGTATCTCCATCGAGGCGACGAGCGGTGCATAAGTCGGAGGTCATGGTTCTCCATAATGTTTCACGATGTCGCTGGCGAGGACTGGAGGCCGAAGGGGATGGCGACCCCATTACGGTGACGGCGGCAGACGAAGGAAGGTCGATGATTCAGTCGTTCATAATGTGACAAGCCGAAGTTATCCCGTCGTTTTGCTACCGAGTGTTATTCACTCGTCGTTATCTACCGTCATTGATTTTACCACGAACTTGTCCAGAGGTTATGAAAGCTACTTGATGTTCTGCAAGGACGACCATTATGCACTTTCTCTGGCATCAGTGGACGATCGGGCGCTTAGCTGCAAGGACTACATAATCTTCTTCCTCTTCCCCTCTATGCCCTTTACTATGCACTTATCGCTCGTCCGCCTTATTAGCTCGCGCTATCTTCTTAACTGCTCTTAACACTGCTTTAACCGAGATTCCTGAACACTTTCCTACACCGTAGCATTTTCCGGTCTACGATCATGCTCAAAGTAGAGAGCAACTTGCAACTTTCGCCATCGTATCATTCCAGAGTAAAGAAAGTAACTCCGTTAAGGACGTTTCTCTCAAGTGTATAAACTCAACTCGCGTAAATAACAGGATTTCATGCTCTTTTCTTTTTCTTCATTCAACATTCATTCGTTGGACAAATTTTTTTCTCCTTTTTTTGTCGCTTATCCTTCTTTTCACACCACACCAGAAATAAAACAAAAACGCACCGGAGAATAAATATATTTTATCATTTTAAATAGACGACAGTAATGATTATACTCGGGTCTGACTAGATGTTGACTTTATCCACTGGAATATTTTTTTGATGCAATTGTGATATAATATTTATTACAGAATGTAAAATTTTGGTTACACCTTAATTATTTTTCACCGCTGCCGCAAACGCAAATGAGAATTTTATTTGATAATTTAAATTAATAAATTTATATTTAATTAAATATTATATATAATTAAAATATTTAAATTTACATCTGGCTTGAATTGCATCCTAACTGAAGTGACGGTCTATAGATATTTCATTATACCACCAACCTCGCTTTTAGCACCCACTGTACTTTGGCTGATCACCTCCTTTTGCATACGAGACTCTAATTATAATTCGCCACTTTCATCAGACGTTTCCGTCGTAACCGAGTCAAGTGTTTCCCCTCCGAGATATCCCTCCTTTTATTCTTCTAGTTTTTTGAGCAATTTCCATTGAGCCGCTGAACGGTTTCATCCAAAAGGTGCCGATGCAGTTAACTTAATTCAAGTGCTGATTGGGCGCGCAGCCGAAGAGATATCGAAATAGAAGAAGAGACATGTAACTGGAATCGACATGAAAGAGCGAGAGAGAAAGCCGCAAGTGGCTTGTGATTGTGTCATGCAATTATGGCTAGTCCCATTTGATAAAACCGACCTAACGGTAAAAGGGGGTTTCAATGGTAGAAGAATCAGCGGTTATCAGAGTGTCAACGACACAAAGACCAGGTCAGCCCTGTTCTATCTCTTTCTTTCTCTCCCTCTACCTTTTCACATTTCTCCCTGGGTCTTGCAATCTGCAATTTACTCTCCGCTTGGAAATGTTTTCTATCCAAATTGTCTTCGTTTTCAGTTATTACGCTTCTGTATGTACGTTTATGTGAGTAGAAATAATACCTCGATAGTTGTAATCATGTATCCTTCGCGCTAAGACAAGCAGTAAAATTTAATGTTTATGCCGAAACTAAATGGCCAAGTTTCCCATAGGGAAGATCAAATGTCCGAAGAGGCAAATAGGTACGAGTAAATAACATTTCCCGTTGCAAAGATAATTACTCAGGCCGCAGTTCGTGCGAGTTCACGCCATGTGTCTGAAGTTTGCCTCGCTTCCTCTCCCCTCTTTCCTCACCCCTTTGTCTAGCCTTGTTTCTTGATGCCCCGGTAACTTCTCGTTTAGCACCGCCGCAAATTAGCTTGCAACCGCGTTTTCCGCGTCCAGCTACAAGCGCCGCAATGCGCGCGCGCATCGTTTTCGTTTTCAAGGTGAGACACATGTTCTTCGGTCGAGACTTAATTAGAGGAACGCCATCTCTTGTGGAGATATTAGCCCGTACCTGTTTAATTTAATGTTCATTAAATATTCATTTGGTGAAAAGAGGGGGTACGCAGGGTTCAATCATCCCCGAACTTGAAAGGGTTGCCGAAGTAATAAATATATAAGGTGTACACAGGTATTCCTTTGATGGAATCAAAAATTTCTCGCCTTGCGAAAATTCGAATTAAATCGAAGGTGCAAATAATGAATTTATAAAGAAATGATATACACGTGCAGGAGGAAGATGATGCATAAATTAATAATTGTAAGGAGTGCCCTTCACCCGCCGGTATCCCGGGGACAATAAAGCGGTGATAACGATGATGATAATTTGCTAATTCGTATCGTAAATGTGTACGGTTATTGAATCCGTGACGAACTGTCATAATTATTAATCGAGTTAGGCATCAATTAGTTAGAATATCGATTAATTGCGCATCAGAATGTATCTTAATCCGTCCGACAATCACGGCTTCCGATTGTCTGTGGCTTTAGATGACTGTGCGTTTCATAGTATAATTAATCATCTGACCACCCCCACCGATCAAACAACTCGAAGTGACGTTTCTTGCGGGGATCTAGCTGTAAATTTCGAACTAACGAGCAAAGTCATTCGGGCGTCGCTAAGATTAACGCATATATAATGATATCGGATTATACGGACGGACTCGTTATTACCTAAATTTATTGCAGGTCGCAAAAGTAAGCAAACTATTTGAACATCGCATCCCCTACAGATATTATGTGTGCTTATAAACTGTATACGCTTGTAATTCGATACTTTATGTTCTGAATCTCGCATAGTAAATGTATGTACGCATAGCATGATGGTAAATTCGTTCGTGAATATTTGTAAACTTATCGAGAAAACATATTCCACTAGTACTTGTTGAAATATGTAAAGTAGAAGCGGTCATGTTTCTGCGGCCGTGGTTTGGCTATTATAGTTGGAAGATAT